AAATATGCCTATTATGTAGCTGCCAACTGTCAACCCGTCTTTCTCAATGTATCTGTGGGCACTGGCAAACACTTTCTCCAAGATATCATAGCTAAAACATCACCCCAAACTTACATGTTGAAATTCTCACCAATATACTGAAAGGTTCGGAAGTCAGCCAGGTTCCGTCACATTTCTGTGTGGAGAACACCCCCAATGGCAAACAAAAACAAAGTACATACAAAGCTGATCTCCCTCCGACAAACTTGGAATACATGGTTGGTAAATGGCACAATTTTCACAATGGAAAAGAATATATAGCACTGATGTTGCGTGTAGGTGTAGACATATATATATATTATACAATACGCACTGAAACAACTCACTTTCTGTCATTTTTTCTCGCATTTTTCCTGGCATTCTATCTGACGTATATTTTGACATTCTTGCTGGCAATCATCTGGCATTTGAGCGGACATATATTCTGAAATTTCATCTGGCATTCTATCTGACATGCTATATATCTGGCTTTTTATCTGGCATTCTGTCTCAAACGTTACCTGAAATACATTTTGACATCTTCCCTTCACCTGACATTCTATCTGACATTTTGCCTCCAATCGGGTTCGATTTCGGCGAGCTAGCAAGGGTTTGGGCCCAGCGTGGTAAAGAGCGGCTCAGAACGCTGGCGAGCTCGCGATGAAGTGGCAAAGTGGCTGTGTAAAAGACGCTGGCCAAACAGCGATGATCTGCTAGCGAGGAAGCTGGCCACAAGGGCCATGATCTTGGAGACTTGGCGATGAGGAATCGAATCTTTTTCGTCATCTTTGCTCCAGAACAGTCGCAAGTCTTCCGCAACAAAACGATGGAATCGCAATTTTGGTGGTTAAATCCAACAAAAGTGGTGGCTACATTGGTCCATAGCATTTGATTTCTGTGGTGATTGTAGCTTCCAGCCCCATGCAAGTCTGCAGGACCTGCTCTGGGAAGTGAAGCATGCAGCAAAGGTCAGGAGCGGAGAGGCAGCCACCTGAGACAAGTTGCGCCATGAGGCAGCCATGATACTCTCTCTTCAACCATCTTCAACCGGCATCTGGCGAAGCTGGGTAGGGAATAAATTAAACCACTGACATAGGTGAAAACAGTGAAGAAACCAGGTCAATCATAACTGGAGAAGATGAGATGATTCAAAGATATACCGGACACAAAACACGGCTCCAGAAAAAGGGATGAGCTGGAAGCATGGGCTGTTGCCACATAATAAAACGCAGTCGTGGCACGGAACAACCAAATGACATTACTGATCAATTCCAATAGTAAAAGTCTTCGAGTCTGTTCCATGACTATATAGCACACTTTGATTTCGTGTCTCTTGTGTATATGGCCTAAAGTACAATCTAGCAATCCGTTGGACAAACAAGAACGCACCATTGATACTCAAAGTGAGTGCAGAGTCACAACATTTCAACCGCAATCCACCCTACCTGTGTGGTTCCCATCGATTGCCATCCTGCCATGGCCAAGCTACACACAGTCCAATAGGAAGAGAAGAGCAGAAAATGCTCAAGGGTTGTTCGCCTGTGGATGCAGGTCCCCACCAAAAAAATGGTAGTTACATATAGTTACTGACTGTATACTGTATACAGTGTAAATCCCCATTTAACTGGACACTGTTCACCTGGCTGTATATGTCTGTATATATCAATGACAGATTTGCCATGAACAAATAGATCATGAACAATTCGCCAACCCAACCTGTGGTTACCACCAGGTTTGACAAATTCAATCCTGGCCCGAATCCTCTTTTTCGTCGGTTCTCCTGTAACCCCATCTTTGTTGTCAAAACCCCATGTGTAGCCCCAATCTGGTCCGCAATTTTGATTCTTGGAATTATTTTTGGATATCCGGATATCCATATTCCATGTTTAATCACCAAAGCATATTTCAATCATTTTAATTCATTATATATATAATATACTTTTAAAATCCTATCGTTTCTTGTCCTTAACTGGTATCCTCCAGTAATCAAACATTGCTGGCTGGGAATCCCCCAAACAAAATTGAGGTTTTAAGTAGTTTTAATGGGAACATCACCGAACTAGATTCGGGAATTTTCCAGCCAGCTATGTTTGGTCGGGCACCGGAAGGCAAAAGTGATAGCTGTGCTTCTTGGCATAGCCGGACTGCTCGAACCGCCTCGTTGCGAAAGGTTCACTCGAAGCCAGGCGCGCTTCCGTGGCTCTTCGCCGACCTTCTCCTGCAGCGGCGCGTATCTGAGACATCTCAGGGAAATGCGTGGGACATTTTCTTAGGTTTTGGGTGTGTCTGGAAATGTTGTTGTATATCCCGAAACAAATATATATATAATTAGGTAAATGATGATGAGCTATGGGTTTCGGGGTTTATATAATCAACAAAAGGGTGTTAATTAACTACTTTAAGGTATTTAAACCAGAAAATCGGGAGATTGGATGCCTTTGGAATGCCTTTGGCTATCAAACATGGTTCCCAGAAGTTCATCATCCAGCTATAGCTGTTTAGTTCCGGGAGTTCACAGCCATTCTGATATTTATGGGGAGCCAGCGTGTTCCAGTTTCTCCATGATCCACCCAAATATTTCCATCCAAATGCCATTGAAATCGGAAAAAAAAACATGACATATGACATGCTGATTGGATCCAACCACCAGGCTTCTAAAGTCAACCCTCAAAGAAGGGGAAAAACTGACTTCTGCAAATCTGTATTGGTAAAGCCTCTTGGTGTGTCGTTGTCAATTGAGGCCAAAGGAAGGAAATGTCTCTCCTAAGTAGGTCCATATATGGGTGCAATACATGGTACAAGTCCAAGTACTTAATATTGCTAGTTATTCCACTTACTCGTTGAATTTTGACCCCGCGATATCACCCCAACTATTATATAAAAATGGCTGGCACCGTAAGACAGGTCCAGATACATGTTGTTCAAGGGAAGTACACGTTTTCTCAAAGTTCTATTTGCGTGATGCCGCCGTTTGCGCTCCGCAGCTCGTCACAGAAAAACAACCCTCCTCGCACCATTCCACGATTTCCATGTTTGTGGCTGCCTGGCACCAGTTTTGGGCTGTATGCCCAAACCATCGAAATGCATTTGCCACCATGGGGTGTGAAAAACCCTAAGCGAAATCTCACAGCCAAACTTCATTTCCCCTTTTTGGTGACCATGTTTGGGTATCCCCCAATTTTTTTTTACGAATCAATGTCCCCCAGAAGCCAATTTGGGACGCCATCTCATGCCTCTAGTTGTAACGGCCCCACAACGACCACTAAGACAGAATCAAAAACCGCCAACGAAAACAATATAGCAACCCCAAAAATATGATAGAACAGTAGTTTAGTTTGGCAGCAATTGAAATCCATTGCCGTTTAGGAGAGGTTAGGAGAGTTTAAGGGGATGTCCTCCGTTTTGATTTTTGCTTTCCTATCCTACTTAGTGGCTCATCCCACTTAGTAAGTGGGTTATAACCCCAGTTATAAGTGGATTAACCCTACTTATCCCATCTATAACTGGGGTTATAACCCACTCACTAAGTGGGATGAGCCACCAAGTATCGACTGTTGATAGAATCCCAAAATCCAATGGGCCTCGGAGCTTTCCAGCGCGAAGTGGGGTCGGGCCATGCGCAGCCGGGCACTCAGGTGGTCCTGGCGCTGGCGACGTGACGCTTTTGGTGGGTTGGGTTCACAACGGGTGGATCTGCTATACCATCTGCACATAAAAGGGTCAATTGAGTCTTGAAATTGTAACAGGGCGGGGTTGTATTTAATATTTACCATTTATTAAATTAATTTAAATTATATGTTAAAATCATGAAACACATTAATTATGCACAAACTTGTTGCAAAAGACTGCCAAAAAAATAAAAGCTGGGTTGGCAATTCACTAGTCCCGAAACAAATTGAGGATGTGGTTCCGATTTGGTGCTTTACAGAAGGAATCCAGAACTGCAACCTTCCATTGCAGGCTCTTTTGTACCAGCTTCCCAGCGTTGCAGAATTCCAGCGCGACGAACTCGGCGCTGAAAGTTCTTTGCCCGTGAAAAAAAACGGGTGAAGAAAATGGCAGGGCTGGTGGAGAACATGCAACACAGGCCCAGCCTGAGGTTTGGTAGACACAACATTTGAAACCGATTGTCACAGGTGACGAATGACAAGTTGCTGACAAGAAATATGCACCTCTTGGATACACCCTGCCGTCGAAAATCTGCTCTGAAATGACCGCAAAACAGGAGATCCGTCTGTTTGAAAGAAAAACCATCCCAGTCTCCTCCAGTTGGCGGAAATTGGTCCAGAGGGATGGCCTGGGACTGTCAGGGGATGGTGCTCTGCACAAATCAGTGGACATCATGTGCTTTGCCTATCCAACATGGTCCAATAGAATAATACAGCAATGAGGATCCATATTGGTCACACATCAGGCATTGGAAGGGGATGGTATGTGTCAAACTTGGGGAGCCCCAACCTTGGACGGCTACTGACAAAAAACAGTGCCTAAAGTGCCTGATTTCATCGTTTGATACTCTGACCCACACCGCCATCCACCATCCAAGAGAGAAACATAGAGAAACTATGAAACTTGATAAACCTGATCCAATCAGAACTCCTGAACCTTCTGGGTTCCCGGCAGCTGGAATCTCAAGGAAGCCTCCAGGTGGGTCGAAAAAGCAGCTGGTGCAGTGACAAACAGTGTTGTCGAAGTGATGTACACCGAATCCAAATTCGAGGGTTTTCACGAAACAAATCGAGGATGTACATAGTTGCCAAATGCGATTCGTTTGACAGCTGGGCGACTTTTGGTGTACTTGTTGATCAAGAGAAGTGCCTATCAGGTATATACTTGTTTCTTCCTGGAATCATGCCCAAAGTACGAGTGCCTGTTCCAACAAATATCGCGACTGTTCCTTTCAGACACTATTCATATATTCATAAAAAGTCAGATTGGCTACGTTTCATGGATCTGGGTCAAATCCACATGCGCAGCTGATATCAGCTGATCGCGGCTGTCTCAGTCTCAGTCTTGATCCATTTGTTTAAGAAAAATTCTATAGGAACCCCTGTGCAAACGCTGATACCAGGCTTTCCACTGAGTGAATCCGCAAGATCAGCATTTTCCAGCCGCACCTCGCCCGCCACCAAGCTCACGTCCAAGGCAATGGACGAGCGAAGCGACAAAGCCAGCCGCACCCGCGAAGCCTTCAAGGAAAGTCATGGCGACGTCATTTTTTCAAGGTGGCTATATCGGCTATATGGGATGCTATGGAGATCATGTGTTCTTCTTCAACAATTGGATGACGTATGATAAAATAGACCGCACAAATACCAAACATATCAAAAACTGAGGATCTGCTAGTTGCTCCCAGGACTTCAAATATCTTTTATCTTTGGTCACCAAGCGACCGCCGCAGGCGGTGCTGGCGCTGGTGCTGATGGTGACGCTGATGCTGGCGGTGATTCGGATGGTGCCTGCCATCGGCACGGGGGGCCACACAATCTTTATATGAAAAGGTTGAATCACTGACTTATCCTGTCTGATTGTGTAACCCAAGAAACGTTGCTGAAAGTTGATTGTTTTTCTTCGGGGTTTCGGTAGCCAGAACTCAGTTTCTAGGTTCCATGTCAGATTTTAGCACAACTCCTCAACTAATCCATGCGTTTCCTTTCAAACAAGCCACTGCACAGTGCGCAAAAGTTAGTTGGGTACAGCCTGTTGAAACTGTGAGATGCAAGCATAGGATTCTAGAATATAGTATGAATAATATATATATATATATATGAATATGTACAAATCTAGTGAAACTCCGGATGTATCAAATATGGACCAACATCTGTTCCAATGGGTAAATGCCCACCTGTCCAGGCTGAGCCTCATATTCTACCTACCCCTGCAGCTACCCGCCTCAGCTTCTGGGATGTCTGCAACCTCAAAGGTCTCTGCAAGGCATGCGAGATACGTCCACCTTATGGTTCACCTGAATTTCTGCATTAGTGGATTGGTAAATTAAAATCTGTTGGAAAACATATTTAAGGCCCTAAAAAGTCCTAAACAATTCAATCAAACTATAGCTTGATGACTGATGGTAGGGATTAGAGTGGGTGTTTCGAACATGATTCCTGATTCCTCTCGCTTCAATGTCAACGTACATCGAATCGGCAGCATTGGCCCACGGGCGCCGAGGCACCCATTCTTGCAGGGCACGGAGCTGCTGCGCATGCAGGCGAATCTTCAAGGGCGTCAACTTCAGGTTCACCTGCGCTGGAAAAGAGTGATCCGTGCACCATTCGAATTAGGCTCCTCAGCTCCTCAATTCCCTGCTGGCCATTGGAAAGTTCTTCAATTTCTTAAAATCACTGGAAAATAAACGATCCAATCTTTGGGGTTCAATTTGACCTCCACTCGGCGCTTTCAAAGCCACAAGAGGAGCTGCATCCCAAATCACACAAACATCCGGAAAATAGACTAACGAAGGGATTATATACCGTCATTCTAGGGATGCCATTATTAATCATGCAATTATGTACTTGAACAAAGGGACGACTCATTCTGAGAAGTCTCAAGTTAAAAGGCCCTGCATGGTGAGACATAGTTTCAGGTCGCACACGCTACCTACGGTCATCATACAACCGAAAGCAAGATCTCAACATATCCCAGCACATCACCGAATAATGCTTCCATGCTCATACAACATGAAAAGTCCACCCAAGGTTCAATGCACACAATGTGGTCTACCGTCTACACAGGTTGCCCTGTCAGCAAGGCCAACGCGAACAAATCCATGTTGCCCATCTGTTTGGAGAACCACTCCCACCATAGTCTCATGCTGTTGCAACAAAAACATATATATATATATAATATATATATATATATAATATATATATAATTATATATAAACAAGTACTCTCCAGCAATCACATATGGAAACGGAATTTCCCCGCATTTGTAGATGATTTTCCCACTGAAATATCCATTTATAGGGGGACTTCCCATCCAACCATGTTTGATTCCCTGGAGGGTATGACAACCACTTCTGCCCCTCGACTCCTAGGAACTGAGGATCCAACGTCCACAGTCACCAAGGGACGCTCACCAGCGGCTGGCATGGTCTGGCGTGGCCAGAGGGCGAGCGAGTTCTGGCACTTCTGGTGAATCAAACATGGATCTTAAGCAGACCTGGCTGGAAAAAAATGGTAGCACCCTAATGAAATGGGATGAAATGGGTCCAAGGGTCTAAGAGTCCAAGGGCGTTATTCATCCTGAATTACGATTGGTGATATTTATCGCAGAAACCTCAGAAACCGCTTATTTAACTGCAGCGTATGTCTATGTCCGCACGTATGTAGATAGACATGAACATTTCTGCACGGTGTCTACAATGATTTAGCTGATGGCTAATCAATGAAACATCATGCCTGCGTTGATCATTGTTCGGGTAAGCCTACTGCCAGCCAAAACTGTCTTGAATTAACTCCCAAACGGAGTCTCTTGGGATCTCTTGTTCACACCACTGAATCCTCAAGATTGGGTTGAAGTCTACCGCTCACATTGGTTGCTCTTATGGCGCATTAGCTGTCTATCGCTCCAAAGGAGTTCATCACCCCTTTTTGATTTAGTTCTTGCACCATTTGAACATTTGTGAGGGTTTATTTAGTTTATTTCATCATCTTCTATGATCTTCAATCTTCCCTATTTTCAAGTGGGCTTTGAAGTCACACCAGCCTATCCTCCTATTGTGAAGGGGATTTATACCAGGGATCTTGGTCATCTTCGGTGAACCTAAACTCCTGGTGACCACATTTCATGACTTTCTCCCAGCAACGAAATCCAGATGTGTTTGGCCCTTCCAAAGCCTGAGCAACCGGTAGTTCCAGATGTTACCCTCTGGCAATTTAATATAATATAGCCTAATATAGCAATGTGGGACATCACCATGTTCAAATCGGAAAAAAAATCTGTAAATGGGATTAAATGCGGCCGTTTTCATCCATTTTCGATCGCTATGATCAAGTACCAGATGTTTCTTATCCAAACAGCCACACCATCACCTCTGATCTCCAGAACTGTGCGCTGGCATGGGTGTCCCCATCCACCTCTGCACCGCGGATGGTTCACACCAAAATCGCTGGGATTTATGGGAAGTTATCCACCCAACATGTGGTGTTTCACAGGTGTTGATCCATAGCCACAGTAACGGGGATTCAATTTTTGCATGATTTTGTCATATTTTTGCCAACAAGAACGGGTATCTTAGTAACCAACATGAAGATTTCATCGGCAACATGGGATTTCACGAGCAAAGCATGGGAATTTATCAGCGGACATATTGATTGATTGATTTGACCAAGCAACAAACATAAGAATTTAACCAGTCAAGAACTGGGTCAGCTGCTGAAAATTGAGATTCGCTGGCAGACAATGGAATCCTACCAACACAAAAATGGAAGAACTGAATATAAACAGAACATGGACAGAACAAGTGATGCCCATCAATTCTCCGCCATAGAGGAGGTAATTGGGGCATGTCATGGTCACCAGATATACAGGTGGGTTCTACCTCAAGTAGCGCTAGCTCAAAGCCCATATATCAACATATATCAACTACAATCCGTAGTTCTGGTTGGAACATGTTTGGAACCACCAAACAGCATCAAACAGCTACCTTTTTACATCACGTCAATCGCCAATCGAATGTGGGTTTCCGGCAGCTGGTTCCCGGACCATCCAATCCTCCATGACGCTCAAGCGAAGACCTTGCACCTGCGGTCGCGAAGAAGTAACATGAAAACCACATGTCGGTGATCTACGCAACACAGCGACAAAAACAGGGAATTACATGAAATTACCTACAAAAACGATGACTTGAATAATCAGTGGAAATGGGAATTTAGGCACCAAAAGATCACAAGAGCGGGAATGAAGCAACGACTGCGAGATACAATGGCAAAATCAACAGAGCTTTTGGGTGTGAATCACCTTGTTCGAACCCGGGAAACACTGATTGAGGTGGAGGATCTCCAATGGGAAAACCGTCCTATGAAAATACCCAATAGTGACCCACACACTGGAGCAAATACAGCGCGTTCTCCCCCAAACTTCCCAAACCAACAAGCAAAATATGGCTTTGTCTGAAAATAGGCTATCCCCAAATTAGACTCTCTATCATCAACCCATTTTTGCAATCAATTGTATTAGACAGACACATCAATTGAAGGTATCCCCTGTGCACCTGAATCCATGGGTCTGTGGCCACGATCAACGGCGAAGTGAAACAGGCCTGGGCAGCAATGCACTAGTCTAGTGAATTGGAATATGAAACTGTCGCATGTACAAAGATGGAAGCAAAAACAGAGTCGACACCCACCAGTCATCATGAATGAATAAGAATGAACAAGAATTTCTACGTGGCCCCACTTTGCCACAGCAAGTTACATGGGTCGCTTCATGAGATTTTGTTGAGATGCCAAGGTTTGATTTGGTGAACTCACCAAGAACTGGATGGGTCAAAAGGGGGATCAGGGTCCCAGGGGTTAAAAACCCCATCCACGCCCCGAAAAACCAATATGTACTATATATATATATAATTGGTACTGCGTCATCCATATACCTCGGCAATCCTAGGCATATGTATACTTTGCACGTTGGACCCAATATACAGGGGCAACCTTAGATAACCAACCGTAAATAATCGGCAAATTAACTCGTTTGAGTGGCTGGTCAGTTAGTCTTTCTCATATTTGGCAAAAAAGTAACCCACGTCAACCTACCAAACCCAGGTAAACCATGGTAAACCCATTTTACTGGCAAAATACAATTTTGATGCTTTTTGTGGATCCATTGATGCACCACCATTTTTCAGCCATACACATATCATATGGTTGGTTATACCCCATGGTACCCATGATTTTTTCATGATATCCCATAAGATGTGGTCTCTCTAGATAAGGATAAGGCATCCCACCATTTCCATGGGTTGAAGTCAACAATCAGCCATGGCCGTGGAATATCCCCATGGATCCCCACGGCACCCGAAACAGCCTCCGAAAATCATGGCTGGAGATCCCTTTCTCGATGATCTTCCTAGCAAACCTCCATGTTGGGGGATTTCCCCGTTTGCTAAGCACCCCAACTACTGTCGCAGTGCTTGCACCAGGCGGCAGAAGACGCAAGGCACTCGGAAGCGCCAAGATCTGCGGAGCTGCAATCAATTGCTGGTTGCTGGGCAAATCAATTGCTATCAATTGCTATCAAATATCCAATGAATATCCAATGAATATCCAATGAATATCCAATGACCATCATTGTTTCTTGGCACTGATTCATATGATTCATTCACACTTTGCCAAATATGATGACTTTTTGGATCCCACCAACCATTTGTCAGGTTGGGAGGTCGCAACAACTTACGCATGACGAGTCGAGTCCAAATGTATAAGTGCTCATTGTGTGTATATAGTATACTTATACATTTGTAGATGTATCTATGTATATCTTGTACACTCAAAATCTCAGTAATTACGTGATTGTTAAATAATGAACCTGATGATGATCACAACAATGAGAATCATATATATATATCTATCTATATATATATACATGTACGTATAATATAGAGAACCCAGTTTCATTCTTACTGTTTCATAATAAGTTTCATAAGTCCATGCTTACAACAATAAGAACCATGATAATAATCAACATCATGAACAGTTATCACCGTTCAAAACTTCCAACAAGTTCAGCTATGTATCACCTGCCACTGGCCCCAAGTTCACTGAGTGCAAAAATCAGGCGGAGCTGATCAAACTGAAAACTTCTGTTTTGCTACACACATCTTCACAGAAACAACAAGGAAACATCTAAAATCAGACAGACTATCATGATCTATCTTTAGCAACGATGCAGTATTATCAGCCATGCAGTATTATCAGCCATGCAGTATTATCAACCATCATAAATCATTATCAACCATATCAACCATGCATTTTTGGAGTGTTTTGCATATGTTTCCCCTCTGTCATCCCGACAAACCTCCGAAAAAAAAACATGTCAGGCCCCCGCACCTCCCAGGCCGCCAGGGTGGCAGAGGCCAAAAGCTCGGCCTGAGGAAGTTTCGGGAAACAGAATTGTCCATAGTTGGTTTTTGAACTACCTATAATGTTAATGGGATTTAGTGGGCTTTAATAGGATTTTATGGGATGTTAATGGGATTTAAATGGGACACCACTAGAAATGGTGATTTGGTGAGGATCGAATGGGATTATGAACCATTCATTGGGGATTCATAGGGGATTTGATGGGGATTTAATAGGATTATAATCCACTTAATGGGATATTATACCCTCTGGTAATTGAACATAGCTATGGAACATGGCCAATTTATAGATGATTTACCTTTTGCACATCGTTCACATGGTGATGTTCCACAGCTATAATCACCAAAGAGTAGGACTCATGAAGTAGTGACCAACTCATGAGGAATGGGAGATACCGGATCGTACTACGATTATCTAATGACTTTAAAAATCTTTAAAATAGTTCTGAACAATTAATCTTGCAACCATTTCTGGGCTGGACTATCTTAGACATCTGGGCTTGACTGGGGGGTCCCTGATTGAGAATTGAGAATTGGTGCAAGGATGCGTAAAATTGTATCCCCAGGTGCTGTTTCAATGCGCTAACAATACCTTCTGCTAAACTGTGGATCCGCAGGATTTACAAATTCCAACAGTTTGACACATGCAACATCTTACAACTACTGCTTCAATCATGGAAATCAGATTTGAGATGATCTGAGATGATCTGAGCATATAGTCGCGATTCCAACATGTTGAATAGATTTGCTAGAGGTCTTGCCCTCATGGTTGCTCATGATCCTTTCACTCCATCTCCCTACGCCTAAGAAACTGTCAAGAAATGAAGTACCAATGGGTCCAGAACATGCCATTCTCGGGTTTACCACGTCATCTATATAACCATCCAATTTTCAACATCTATATCATCCCCATGAAATCTCCACATTCTGGTTGGCTAAGCTGGGTTATATACCCATCAAAAAATCCCTAAGTTGTCCCACATTATAGCCCTTAAATATCCTTAAATGAAATGCCGAAATGCCCTGTTGCGTCTTCTGCTCCTGAATCAACCACCGGCCCGGCGGAAAAATGCACCTGTTGCGTCGGTGCCGCTGGAAACTCATTCTCTGTCGCCTTCGGGGCCTGATGCACCGTAAACCCATGCCATAGGGGTCTGGTCTTTTGCGCCAGGAATATAATGGAAATGTGAACCCCCCAACAAAAAAAGTATGGAACATGGAAATCTGGGGTGTAATTATTCTAAAGGCAACATTCCCATATTCAGAAAATCTTCGCATACCATGTTTTCATCGTACTCCAGACCTGGGTTTTGGTATGTTACTTTGATAGGCATTTCAGCTCAATCTGGAGGGAACAGTTGGCCCACGGCGAATCCATTGAATGCCCCTCCACAGCTTTCTATCCCCTATGTCGTTCCAAAGGAGCTGTGGACGTTGAATGAATTGAAGGCTGCTTTGATAAGGAAGTTTCCTCATTTGTCTACAGAAGAAGGACAGGGTTGTCAAAGGTAACGTTTTTAAAGGTTGGCTAAGTAAAAATTAGCAAGTTTCTTCCCCGGGACCTCACCCAAGGTGAACTTGGAAAAATAGAACCCACTGGTGTGCCCCTGGAAGTTTGGGCCGGCTTTGGGATTGGAATTTTGGTTCTGGCCGCGAAATTTCCCTATGTGGTCTCTATACCAGCCACGCATACTCGGAATTCTTCGCATTCCACAAATTCTTCGCACTCCACATGGGACATCGCACTCCACAGCTAGGGACGCGCACATACTATAAAATCCACGCACTCTGCAAGATCTTCGCACTCCATAAAATCTTCGTACTCGGTAATTTTTCGTTTTTTTCGTTTTTTTTCTTTTTTTTTTCGTTTTTTTTTTGGCTAAAATCGCCTGGAATCACGTTTTCTGGAATATGGGAAAGGTAGCGGTTTTTCGTGAGACGTCTGTAGTTGCACATACTATCGCATTCCAGGCAATTTTGGCCAAAAAAAAAAAGAAAAAAGAAAAAAAAGCTCAGCAGGGTGAAATGTGATAATTTTCTGGTATATGATGGAAAAAACTGGTGTTGGATTCATGGGGAAGGTCGAAGGGGGCCACGCATACTGTTTTATTTTCGCATTCCAGAAAATTAGCGCACTCCAGGGGTGGCATCGTACTCTATCGGTGGAATTATTTTGCACGGAAGAAAACAGGATCGTCGATGATTTGTGTTCCCAGATCCTGTTGTGCAGAGCTCTTTGCGGGGCCACAAAGATGTCAAGAAAGATGGGGATGGCGCTGCTGATGAAAGGCCAGCCAAGCGTGCCAGAACATAAGCTTAAAGCTTATGAATTGGGTTTTGGGATCGTGAAAAGTGTAGATGACAAATTTCCATAAGAACATTATTAATCCATTTTTGGAAAGCTCAACATTTTTAATTATGACATTTCCAGAAATTGTTGAAAGTAAGGATCTTCTTTGGGGAAGAACATGTGCAGTCGACAACGTACGTGCCAGAAGAAAAGGAATACTTGGCAAACTGTATGAAATACAAATTTCACCTGAAAGGGGTCTTCGCAATTCCCTGAAATTTCCCAGCTATTTTGGCATGGAATATGTTCGGCCCTGGAATATGGGCAAGAAATTGCTAGAATTATCAAAAACATACAACCAGTATCCTGGTTGCTGGCTAAGCCATCCATCAAATGGAGAAAGTCATTGGGACAATCAACAAACACTGGAGATTTCGCCCGACTAAAGATAGGGAGATATTTCGCAACAATGCTCTAGTGATTCTAGTGAGCCGCCCAAAGGATGGGGGATGCCTGTCACAACCTCGCCCCAGCCATGGAACCTGCGCCGGTTCCATGGTCGCCAAGTGTAGCAAGCGCATGGCCAGGGACACGCTGCTGGCGCGTAAATTCAACTGGTGCCTTAGATCTGCCCCACCGAACGACATATGATAGTCTATCTACGCCAACAATCCGACCATCCAACCATCCATCTCTCCGTCTATAAATTAACATTAGAATTAATATTATTTATATGTATTATCATATATATATATAGATATATAGATATATACATATATGTGCGAATAATATATGGATGGATGAAATTGAATGAAAGTGAATGAACATTGAATGAAATTGAAAAACACATGAATATACATGAATAACATTGAATGAACACACACACGCATCGTGTTTTTTAAAGGTAACAATATGTAACAATGTCTTTTTCCCTGTGAAATACTGCGGAAAGCTCTTGGCTCCCTGCGAGTTCACGAAGGCCGCAAAGATGTTGCCCTTCAATGGTAGCACCTTCGTCGGCGGTTGGTGATCGTTGCCTGGTTTGATCAGATCCTGGTTTCTTTTTGAAAGATTGTATACTCCATCCATAAGACACCCACACATGGAACAACTATATATATATATATACATGTATTATAATCATACATAATCTATATAATCCTCTCTCCCTATTACTAAAACACCCCCCCCAAATGGTAAACACAGTGATCTATTTTTATTATTAGGGGTATTTTGTACTAGGGTGCCCCTAATATTCCAATGAAAAAACCCTAATAATAAAATATAATAAAAATAAAAAATATAAAAGACTCGATTTCAAATTTGATTAAATCCTTTATTAAAATCTATATACAATATTGCCAAAAACTGGATTTCGAATCTTTCCCCTAATGAAAAACCCTAATAATAAAAGAAAAAAAACTCGATTTCAAATCTAATTAAATCCCTTATTAAAATCTATACAAAATATTGCCAACAACTGGATTTCGAAGCTTTCCCCGAAAATCTTAATAATAAAAATAAAGATAGAACTTGTGAGATGGGACCCGAATAAAAACCTCCAGCCGGCAATCTATTTTTATTAATAGGGGGTTGAACCCATTGTTTCACCATCCTGTTCTCCTATTGATTCTCAATTACCACAATTAAGAATCCAAGTGTGCCCAACCAAAAAAAGATAGAAGGGCCACACCAATCCTATTTTTTTGGGGGGAGTTTTAGTAATAGGAAGAAGGGATTATATATACATTATTATTATATAATATATATGATATGTTGTTGGCCCCATGTCTGATTAAGGTTTTTGATGGGCCCAGCCGATGATCAGCTCCCAGTGCCCTACCAGCCCTATTGCTTCATTGGGGATAGGCCCTCTTTAAAACAACCATCCAATGGGAAAAGGAGTATACAAACCAAGGTGGTTAATTAATCAACCAGCAAACATGGGGTATTTTTTTAAAAGCACATAATATATATACCCAGCAATGCACGAAAAGATAGAAACAACAACATAGTGGTCAAACAGTGGTACATTTCTTGCCTATCTTTCTGGAGGTTCACTGTCTGATCCAATCTAATCTTATCCAATCTTATAATCAATTATAATCAATTATATGTATACAGTATATATATATATGTATATATATATACCAATGGCTATACATGCATATATGTGGACTTAAATAGGCAACCCCTGAGGTCTCACTTCTCCAGCTTCACCATCCCACCTGTGCCAGGTGCTGACTGCAAAGCCACGTCGTGGGGGAAAAGGAGGGCTTCAAGGCGGCAGGCAGCAGCTGACCTGCAGTGCGCGCAATGTTCCCATGCTTGACACTGCTGTGAAAATGTGGTGAAGACTGAATGATACAAATCAATTTGTGGTTTTTGCATGTAGAACTGGTAGTTCCATGTAGTTCCGAACTCCCCAAAGAGATAATTCTTGTCGATTGTCTGCCATTCTGCCGTATAATCTGGCTGAATTTTGATGGTCATCCCACAATGGATTGACCCCAAAATATGGGGATAAAAAATCCCACTTTTGTCCATGGCACATATACAACCAGTAAATATTCATGTATATTAAATGTATATTATTACATTATATTATGCGATATGATGCGTTTTTTCCCCCATAAATACTGATACTGTTTGTTGAGCTCCCTGACAAATATGAATCTCATTGTGGATCATCCGAAACAATGTTGAAAATAAAATATACCCTCTGGTAAACTAACATAGCTATGGAAAATCACCATTTTGATGGCACATTTCAACTGACTATACATGGCAATTTTCAATAGCTATGTTAAATTACCAGTGGGTATAATATCCCATGAAGTGGATTATAATCCCATTAAACTCCACTAAATCCCCATCAAATCCCCAATGAATCCCCAATTAATGGCAGTGCAGTATGTGAAAACACCAAGCAGTGCAACCAGTGCAGTTTTGGTCCCGAGGTCCCCACAGGCAAGCACAAGCGCAGCGTCCGGAAACTGCCTGGCTCGAGAACGCTCGGCCGTTCAAAAAAAAAAAAGGTCGAGGGCCAATCAAGTGGACCAAATGTTGGGATATATATATAATATGTTTGTGTCTGTGTATATGTATCCCTATATATATATATCTCTCTCTCTCACTCTCACTCTCTCTCTCTCTCTCTCTCTCTGGATTCTGGATATAAATTGTAATATATACAGTATGTATCAGTATATATATACAGGATTGTACAAACGTGATACATCCGCCGACCCCGGCCTTCGCCAAGGCCGGGGCGGCGCCTGGGACCACCGCAGGTGTGGAACTTTTCCGCGCACATAGCCCTCTCTCGTTAAGGTACCAACAAGCCCAACACACGCCACTCCCGCACACAAAAGCCACCACAAGGCCACAGCAATGGCTCAAGCGCACCTCACGGCCGCAGCAATGGCTTCTTATACGCGTTCAAGGCTGCCGTTTGCCAGGCCTCAAACGCTCCAAAACCCTCCAAAACCCTCCAAACCCTCCAAACCCTCCAAAAGTCCGGCCAGCTCCGCAGGGAAAAGGTACCCCAACAAGCCCAACACGCGCCACTGCCGCACGCAAAAGCCACCACAAGGCCACAGCAATGGCTCAAGGGCACCCCACGGCCGCAGCAATGGCTTCTTATACGCGTTCAAGGCTGCCGTTTGCCAGGCCTCAAACGCTCCAAAACCCTCCAAACCCTCCAAAAGTCCGGCCAGCTCCGCAAGGAAAAGGTACCCCAACAAGCCCAACACGCGCCACTCCCGCACGCAAAAGCCACCACAAGGCCACAGCAATGGCTCAAGGGCACCCCACGGCCGCAGCAATGGCTTCTTATACGCGTTCAAGGCTGCCGTTTGCCAGGCCTCAAACGCTCCAAAACCCTCCAAAACCTCCAAAAGTCCGGCCAGCTCCGCAAGGAAAAGGTACCCCAACAAGCCCAACACGCGCCACTGTCCGCACGCAAAAAGCCACACAAGCCACAGAAATGGTCAAGAGCACCCCACGGGCCGCAGGCAAGGGCTTCTATAGCGTTTCAAGGGCTGCCGTTTTTCCAGCCTACAAAGCTCAAAAACCTCCAAAACCTCCAAAAGTCCGCCTCCAAACCCTCCAAAAGTCCGGCCAGCTCCGCAAGGAAAAGGTACCCCAACAAGCCCAACACGCGCCAGTCCCGCACGCAAAAGCCACCACAAGGCCACAGCAATGGCTCAAGAGCACCCCACGGCCGCAGCAATGGCTTCTTATACGCGTTCAAGGCTGCCGTTTGCCAGGCCTCAAACGCTCCAAAACCCTCCAAACCCTCCAAAAGTCCGGCCAGCTCCGCAAGGAAAAGGTGCCCCAACAATGGCCCAACAAGTCCAACACGCGCCACTCCCGCACGCAAAAGCCACCACAAGGCCACAGCAATGGCTCAAGGGCACCCCACGGCCGCAGCAATGGCTTCTTATACGCGTTCAAGGCTGCCGTTTGCCAGGCCTCAAACGCTCCAAACCCTCCAAGCCCTCCAAACCCTCCAAAAGTCCGCCCAGCTCCGCAGGGAAAAGGTACCCCAACAAGCCCAACACGCGCCACTCCCGCACGCAAAAGCCACCACAAGGCCACAGCAATGGCTCAAGGGCACCCCACGGCCGCAGCAATGGCTTCATATACGCCGTTCAAGGCTGCCCCGTGCAGGCCCTCAAACGCCCAAAACCCTCCCCAAAACCCTCCAAAAAGTAAGCGCCAAGTCCGCGAAGGAGGAAAAGGCGTGTTTTACCCCGCAAGGAAAAGGGGTACACCGACAAGGAAAAAGGTACCCCAACAAGCACCAACACGCGCCACTCCCGCACGCAAAAGCCCACCACAGTCCACAAGCAAGTATCAAGAGCACCCCACGGCGCCCAGCAATTGGCTTCTATACGCGTTCAAAGGCTGCCGTTTGCAAGCGCATTCAAAACGCTCCCAAAACCCTCCAAAACCCTCCACAAACCCTCCAAACCCTCAAAAAGTCAGCGCCAGCTCCGCAGGGAAAAGGGTACAAAAAAAAGACCAACCAGCGACAGGAGCACGCAGAAGCCAACAAAGGCACAGCAATGGCCTCAAGGGACAACCATAACGGCCGCAGAAAAAGCAATGGCTAGTATACGTTCAAGGGCTGACGTGCCAGGCATGTCAAACGCGAGGACAAACATACACAAACCAACGTGGGAGGAAGACCAAACCCAAACCCTCCAAACCCTCCAAAAGTCCGCCCAGCTCCGCAGGGAAAAGGTACCCCAACAATCCCAACACGCGCCACTCCCGCACGCAAAAGCCACCACAAGGCCACAGCAATGGCTCAAGGGCACCCCACGGCCGCAGCAATGGCTTCTTATAGGCGTTAAACCCTCCAAACCTTCCAACTCCTCCAAAAGTCCGCCCAACTCCGATGCAAAAGGTACCCCAACAACCCCAACAGGCGCCACGCCCGCACGCAAAAGCGACGACAAGGCCACAGGCTTGAGAAGCAAACGGCCATATGTCTGTCTTGCTGTCCGTCTCCCTCTCTCTCTCTACAGTACCCCCCTCCAATTAGGGGGGTCGGCGGCACCTGGGCGCTAGCCCATTCTATATACAGGATTGTACAAACGTGATACATATCTCATGTACCTCTTTCCACGTGTCTGACCGTGTATATATGTATATATTTCTATATACATATAATATATATATATATATAATGTTGAGTGTACATGTACATATTTCCCAAATATCTTCACATGAAAAAAACGCATGTTGCTGCATGTTGCCCGGGATAGCTTTGAAAGATGTTGGCCGGAATAAAATATGACCTTCGATGGGCCGATGCCTCGCCTGCTCCATGTCTTTACTGCTTGACTGGCCTGGATGCACCGACAGTGAAAAGACTCTGGTGATTTGGTGCTGCTTTGGATGGGAGACCACCTACCATTGAATACATAGGCCCCCAAATCTAGCAGAGTCTGGCTGTAGACCTTTCACAGACTTTCTACTTGTGAAAGATTTTTGGAATGCAAGTTTTCACAGACTGCTCTGTGAACATGAAGCTTTTGCGAGATGGACCTTGTCAAGTACTCACAGTAATGTAGCAAGCTGGAAGATCTACCAAATCACCAAGTCCTGTGGAATCTCATTGGCTCTGAAGCTGTTGCAGGTCTGAAAGAGCTGTTCAATTCCCCAAACCCTTCCCAGCACCTTGGTGTCTTTCAGCATCTCTGCCTCAGATAGGAGAATCAGGTTTCATGATACGCGAACTGATTGAATTTGGGTCAGTTCAAGTCAGCCTTTCTTCCAGGTCAGAAATCGTGGCTCGACTTTGAAGGCGTCAGTCTCAAACCTCTCGCGCTGCAAGGGTTCTCCTGCTGCTTTTTGTCATGCGTTGACTCTTGTGTCTGAAAACCCTCATTGGTTTGGCCATTAGAGAATATTCTGTCGATTAAACATTACTACCAGTGGATCTGGGGTATACCCCATTTTGATCCATTTTGGAGAAAGTCTGGACCTGGTCTCTTTTAACATGCCTGATCTTTGTCTTTTTTGATCGCGCAAAAACAATAAAAAACAACTCGATATCCGAGCTAGGTACTGTTTTCCTTCACGTGTGCCTATTCATAATCCATTCACCTACCTTTTTCTCGGAGATTTAGATCATGGGTATTTTGATACCCAATAATAGATGTATAACAACAATGAATGATGGATAATGGATGTATAATAGTAAATTACTTAAACCAACTGATTTTGATACCCAAGGGGTGATCACTAGCGGCACTAGAAGTGGACACCTCCACCAGTTCTCCATCCTTTTTTTTGCAGTTCCTGATGTTCCTGGGGATCTCTTAGGTATCTTAAGACCTTTGGGGGCCAAGCTGGGGCACATGTCTGTAGTGGTACTCCTGACCAGCTCACTGCGCCTGATGGGAGGAACAAAAATCATAGGGACCCCCACAATCTGACTGGCTTCGGCATGTCCGTGCTGGCCGCCTGGTCAAATCGTCAAAGTTATCCACTCGGATTAATTAGTCATATTCGACTGTGGTCAGTGGTGAACATGTAATAATCTCAATACATTGTTACATGTTATATACAAAGGTTAATTGGGGATAATGATCCCATGTATCCTCGAACCCGAAAGATTTGAAACCAATCGTTGTTCAATCCAAGGCCCAGCACGCATCTGGTGGCAGTCTGAGCACTTAGCGGTGCCATAAACCAAGCAACTCTTCGGAACTGCTGAGTGATGGGTAGTTCTCTGCCCACAAATGATGTATCGGGGCCCGTTATCATGGCTGGTACACTCTGTGGATCTCTGCAGTACACATGCTTTTCACAAAATCACATATTTCTGCTCAGATTTGTGAAAAAAGGGACGGGACCAACATAAATCACATAATAACACATTCCTAGTACTCACCCTTACAGACACAGCAAGGCAGTATTTTTTTGGAGACAGCTGCGCTAGAAAGCGAGTAAGATCCATGAAACAAAGAAACAAATCTAAAGTAGAAGGCATGCCCTCGAGAAATGACCACCCCAGGAACACTCAAGCGCCACAAAAGAGCGTCCAGAGAGGCCACCAAGGAGAGAGCACCCCCCACAGTAGAAGGCCAAATCCACAGTCACCAGCGCCTCAAACAGACCTCCTCCAGGGTCAAGACCCAAGAAAAACAGGCAAGAAAGAGAAAGGGCGCAGGCGCAGTACGCTGGCAAAGAGGCGGTGAACTGGGGAAGGCAGTTGGGTCAGCCAAATTACTGCGTGTCCAGCCATGATTCGTACTATCAAACAGTGGTCTGCTTACTAGTAGATTCCCCAGTCATGGTGGATTCAGCCATGGAAAAATGAAGAAAATCATCAGCGAATCCAGGTCTCTCGCGCCTCCAAGCACCACATGTTTCGTATTGCCCTGTGGGGATCTGGAACTCTGAAGCAGATTGGAACAGGGATGGCAAGTAGAGGGCAAGTCATGATTTCAAGTGAAAAATCCCAAGAGATTCTGCAAAATCATGTCTCTTGAAGGGTCAACGGTTCCTGAATTTCAGGAAACCACTGAATTGCAAAATAAATTCTGTCAGTGGAAGACGCTCTGGGGACCTTCACAGGTAGAAAGCAGAAAATGTGTTCAAGGCTTCAGTGTTTCAATTATTTCGGATCTGATGGCTACTCACTAAATACAAGTTTTAAAAAAGTGTACCCTCCGGCAATCAAACGCGGCTTGCCAGACAAGTCACCAATTTATAGATCATTTTCATTGATTTTCCCATTCAAACCTCCATCTATAGAGGATTTCCTAGCCATCTTTGATTACCGGTCATATTCCCCAATAGCGCCCAGGGAGCGGCCCGCTATCCTCGTGGATGATTCCCATGCGTTGCAAGGAGAAGAGGCATTGCACCTGCCAGTGGCATCAGTGTTGCTGTAACGTACCAAAGACAACTGGGAAACATGGAGAAACAAACTGGGGATCCAAAGCGGGCAAAGTGCAAACTCAAGTTCGTACTTAAGCTATACTGTACATCTGCGAGTATTGTGAATATTATGACTGAAGTATGCAGATATTCATGAGATTTCATGACTATATATATATAATATGGTTTTCAGAACATCTCAGCATATCTCAGCACCATCCTCTCTTTGTTTCAATCGAACACATTGGAAAAAGGGTCTCAAAAAGGGACAGCAACGCGCTTCTTATGAACAAATAAAGCATCCCATCGAACTGCTGGATTTGGTATCGTCAAACTCTGATTCATTCTCAAATTGGAATATTCCGAACGGGTCAAAACCTATGGTACATTCTTCATCATTATGGTACCATATTTGAATATATGTGGGGTTCTTGGTAATCTTGGTACAACAACTTCGATGATTTCATGTACTAGACCGTCTAGACCCAATGATAAACAGTCCACAGCAAGGGCCCCCCAACAAAAACAATCCCCATTGAGGTTACCACATATCCACGTCCACATGTTCCAATATGTTTTCATCAGTGGATCCAAATCTTTCACGGGTACATCCACCATTTTTGGCTGGTTATAGCTGGTTGAACATGTGAAATCCCACTTGGCTTTGTCTGAAAAAGACGGATGTCCTCAACTTGGCCGTGGTAATGGCGAAAATGATGATTCGCTATCCAATTTGGGTTACCCAAATTTAAAGTGGTTCTGAGTTGGCTTATAGACCACATTCACTATGTATGTTTGCCATTAGCCATGGTCAACCCAAGTTATAAACAAACTTAGCCATCGACCTGGGGTCCCACCAACTGGTTCAATATCCCAATATCTCACATGAAAAAAACGCGTAAAATGGTTGGTGAAGGTTGGTTATGCCCATGATATTCCCCAATTCTCAACCTAGTGAATCGGATCCATCAACTATAAATTAATGAACTTCGATGGGTTAAGTCCCAGTTTTGCTGTGTAAAACACGAAATGTCCCAGGTTCTCTCCGACATCATAGGTATATATTATCCTGATATATCCTGATTATATCTGATTATATAAATACCTAGTATCTCCCCCATATTTCCATTATATTCCCCAATTTTCTTTTTTTCAATCAACCATTTTGGTTTGGTTACAGTCGCCGACAAAATTATAGAAAAAAAAAGGATAGAAAAATACCGGAGCTGACGGAAAAAACAAAGAGATCGGATGCGTTATTTTTTTCTATAATTATATATATACGTTTTTTCTATAATCTATAATGTTTTTTTCTATAATTCCGTCGGCGGCTATGATTAGTGATTAGTCTTGTTGTATGCATTATACTTCCACTGGTTTCACCTCTTTTTCAACAGATTTCACCACCTTACCATAGTTTTCATCACTTCTTCAGTTTATTTCGTTTATTTTTGCCATGGCTTTCATTATTTTCTTTCTCCCGGTTTCTGGAAACAATTTCCAAAGAAATTCTCTATTCGAAAAATGCACTTTGGGGCTGGATTAGTTCCCGGCTACCCTTTGGGATATTTTGGGATGATTTTGTGACAACTTTTCTTACGAAATGGTCGTCCAGGATGACCAACCTGTCAAGAAAAGTACACGTTGATCTGATGATCAGGTGTCAAATGTCCCAGAATATATGTCATAATTTTACCAGTGGTTTGAAACCATTTTCCAACCTATTTCAGCCATTTGCATTTGGTTTTAAACAATTTTCTGACCCAATTGTTTGTTTTTTTTCATTGGTGTTCAGCAGTTGTTCAACATATTGCAACATTTTACATAGGTCGTCATCAGTTGTTCAATCTATTATGTTAGCATCGGCTTTCATTAGTTTCTTTCTCCCGGTTTTTGGGAACGATTTCAAAAGGAGTTCTTTGTTCAAAAATGCACTTCGGGGGGCTGGATCTGACCGGCTACCCTCTTAGCATGATTCTGTGACAACTTTTTTTTGCAGTTCTATGCAATTCTATTTTTTTTATAATTCACTTTTCCCGGAAATGGCCGTCCAGGATGACCAATCTGTCAAGACAAGTATATATAGCCTCGTCCCCGGTCTTGGAACTGCGCACAACCCGAATTAGGTTGGTAAAACTTGTCAATTCCGGGACGAAATTTTGTCCCGGAATTGACAAGTTTCATTAGGGTCATCATCATCATCATCATCATCACAACATCATCATCATCATCATCATCAGCAGCATTATATCATCATCATCTGCAGGTTCACATGAACGTTAACATCCCACCCCATCCCCCCCACCCCACCCCGCGTGTGCGTAGCATCAACTGCTTCTGCAAGTTCACATGAACGTTAACATCCCACCCCATCCCCCCACCCCACCCCGCGTGTGCGTAGCATCAACTGCTTCTGCAAGTTCACATGAACGTTAACATCCCACCCCATCCCCCCACCCCATCGTATGTAGTTCCAAGACCGGGGACGAGCCTATATATACACATCTGTCAATCAGGTGTCCCAAAATAGATTTCATCACTTTAGCATTGGTTTCACGCAATTGTCAAACCTATTTCAGCCTTTTGCCATTGGTTTCAATCAATTGTCCAACCTATTTCATTGCTTGTTCATTAGTTTTCGGCAACTGTTCAGCAAAAATTAACAGCCTTCGGAAATTCTTGGATGATGTCCCCAAATAATTATAGAAAAAAATGGGTATCAGAAACTATGGAATTCTAGGGAAATTTGGCAGGGATTATCCAAAATACAGGGGCAACATGAATTATAGAAACAAGCAAAAGCCCCTTTTTTGTAATATGATAGAAAAACCCTGGAAATGGCCAAAAGTTCAACGATAAAAACCATCATTTTTTGTTGTTAACCCTTTTGGGGAAAACTTAATTATAGAAAAAACTGATACGGCAACTGCTCGGTAAATTTCTATCTTTTTTTTCTGATAATTCTGTTGGTGACCATAAGTCAATCCCATTCAAATCACAGTAAATGCCACTAAAACTCATTAAATCCCGAAAAAAAACACTGAATCCCACTAAATCCCAGTAGTGTAAATCCCATCATAATCTGAACATCGCGCCCCCTGCCGGCCTTGCTGACGCTGGAAGAGCCGGGGGCTGTTGCGCCGCACATCTCCACCGCCTCGTCCTCGGCCTATGGGTGAAGAAATATGGGAAAAAACATGGGGATAGAGTGGGATATATATATAAAGTAAATCATCATGGTGTAATGGATATAATATAACTATAGATATAGATAGATAAATAGATACAGATATATAGATATAGATATATAATTCTGGATAAAAACATCTAGATATATAGATATAATATACATATATATATACACATAAACATGTATATACATATATAGAAATAAGAATATATAAATATACATATACATTGATATACATATATATACATGTACATAAATAAATATATATATAATAAAATTTAAAAATGGTATATATATATATATAGATATATAGATATATAGATATATAGATATATAGATATATATAGATATGAAGATATATAGATATACACATATATCGATATATATATATAGATATATAAAAATAATAAAGATATATAGTAGATGTATAGGTATATAAAAATAAAGATATATAGATATATAGATATATAGATATACACATATATAGATATATAGATATTTAGATATATAGATAAACACATATATAGATATATAGATATATAGATAAACACATATATAGATATATAGATATATAGATATATAGATAAACACATATATAGATATATATATATATAGATATATAAAAATAAAGATATATAGATATATAGATACATAGATATATAGATATAGGGATATATAGATATAGTGATATGTAAACAACAGTAATTATGATATTTGTGTATGTCTGAACATGTCATACTAACTCCAATTTATGGATTCTATGGTCATTTTCATACGGGGAAAATGATGATTAAACTATGGATTTTGAGGCCCCTATTTTCAATCAAACTAAAATGCGGGTTACCAAAATACCTGGGTAAGATAGAAATCACCACCACGGCGGAAGGACACATCGTCTCAGAAATGGATAATTTACCCCTATACATGGGGATACATCACCAACAAAATATCGGGATGTGTAGCTTAGGGGGGATGATTTCCAAGCACGCTTGAAACATAATTTCATTTTACAATATGATTCATGTTTTTTTCCTTTTTAGGTTCTATGTTAATTTCCCCTGGTCTATATGAACACCGCAAATGGAAGATGTAAGAAGGAAAAAAACAACAACATTTTTTCAAAGGGTCCCCTCACGAATCATGGTCTTGACTCTTTGATCCGACTTATTGCCTTTCAAATTCCCCGACATGTCGCTGGATTTCGCTGGATCCAATCACATCATCAGGAAAACATGCAGGAGGAACATGTACCAAGGGACTTAGGCAGTAGAAAAACGCAGTAACTTGGCAGTTTACGCCCTTCATCAGCTGTCAAACGAAAAGTGAAAGGAAACCACTACACCATAACAAAACCAATCACACATCATTCAAAATCCACCTCCTGTTCTACTTCAATCCCACTTCTTGGAGGTTTTTTTCACCCCGTACCGTGCCGAAAATCCAATGGCACTCACCTCCGAATCGCTGGTGGCCCAAGGAGGTGATGCCATGCTCGAAACCACACTGGGAACGTGGCGACGCGTGCTGGACATTTTTGGGTCCCAGGGGGAATCCATTCAATATTTGTGGCATAATGTGGCATATAACATTATAAAACCATAGTCACCATATATCAATAGTTTATAGTGGTATGTCCGCCGGCCTGCCGGCGTGTCTTGTGGATTTTGCTTGTTCCTAGTTGTACTGTGTGTTTTGTTTTCAGTTTTGTCTAGATTTTCCCCTTGGCGCGGGTTTTTGCCTCGTCTAACTTGAACCCCCGCGCGCCCCGTTCGTTTCGTCTTCATCTTTCCTTAGGTTGT